GTCGGGCTTGGGGCAAGAGTCCTTATTATCCAGAGCCATCTTACTGGCCCAAAGCCTTATCTTTAAAATCTAACAACCTGCCAGGAGTGGTGGTGCAAGCCCTTATTCTCAGCACCTGGGAGGTTGAGGCAGGCGGATCTCTGTGAGTTCAAGGCCAGCCTGATCTACAGAGTGAGGTCCAGGACAATGCCAAGGCTACACAGAACCCTGTCTCAAAAAACCAAACCAAACAGCAACAACAAAACAATATAATTACTTACAATTCTGTATTTAGTTTTGTGTGTACCTCTGTGTGTGTGGGGGTGGGGTGGGGGGGTGGATAATGGTGCAGAAGTGGAGGTCAAAGGACTTTTGTTCTCTCTTTCTACCCTGTGGGTCCTAGGGATTGTCACGCTTGGTGGCAATCACCTTTCCCCACTGAGATAACTTGCTGGTCCCCTACATTAATTCTAAAGGCTATTAATTTTACTGGACATTCTACTTTTATCACACAGAAAACCTTTATCTACATATAAACAAACTTCCAAACCTTGACATCTACAAAGCTGGCTGTGGTGGTACACACCTGTAACTCAGTACTCGGAAGGCTGGGGTGGGACCAAGCCACAACTGAGGACATCTTGGGCTACAGTGTGGAATGTACAACAAGTCTCAAAACAAAAAGCAAATGAAAACAAAGACAAAACCCAGTGGACAGATGTAAAATAATGAAATAATTCCAGTAACCACACCGGCAGCCAGGCTGAGACCCTGACTACATGCTGTAGGGGATGCAGCTTGAAAAGCAATGTCAGTCACCACTGTGGGTCACAGGTGATCCCTGACCTCGGGAAGCTGGGGCAGGAGAACTGATGTAAACTTAAGGCCAGCCTGAGCTACAGAGTAAGACCCTGTCTCAAAGACAGGGAACACGGGGAGGGAGGGGACACATTCAACGGGTAAGGACGTTTGCTGCCAAGCCTGTCTCTCTCTGTGTCTCTGTGTTAAATCGCAGAACCACATGGTGTAAGGGAATAATTCCCTTGTTGCCGTTGACCTTCACAAGCACGCTGTGGCATGCATGTCCCTCTCCCCTCACAAAACAAACAAATGTAAAACATGTACACACTTACACATCTCTAACTGCTCATAAGAAAGGTTATTATCCGCTTAAAATGATGAGTCCCGTCAAACGCCCTGCCCTGCTCTGCCTGCCCACATGCCACACGCCACCGTCTCCTAGGTCTAGCTTCAAGGTCCACCCTGCTCTCCAGGCCTGCTGCCCTTACAGCTTTTAGTTGCTTTGTCTTTTTGAATGAGGGTCTTGTTATAGAGCCCAGGCTAGCCTCAAACTCACAGTACTCTGCCTTCCTTGGGCTGTTGTGCTGAGATTACAGGCATGAGCCACCAAATACAACTGTCACGGTTTTGGGATACAGATCCCTAGATTCCCACCCTCACCCCGCTGCGGTCTCTCATTTCTAATCTGCATGGTGTGGTCAATTCCGAAGCCTGTTGAGATACTTTGTTAGGCCTAGAGGAACTGAACTCATTATTTTCCCACCTGTCTGCCGGACTCTGACAACGTCCTGGGTGTCGGGCTCAGCACCACAGCTGTGTTCTGCAGTGCCCCTCACTGTCGGCCATTCCGCATCTCACCTCTCCACCTGCTCCTGCTCTCTACACTGATTCTTGCAAGCAGACACCGGGGGCTCTTGCAGTCAGTCTCTGCCCACAGCAAGGCTGCTGTGGAGCCTGCCATCTACCTATGGGCACTTGGGAGCATTAACACCAACTCTCTCAGGACAGACTGCAGCCCCTCAGCAGATGGGACCGACAGACCTCAGCTTCTCCAAACTCAGAGAAGCAAAGTAGCCAGGCCGTGGGCATGTCAGAGCCCTGGGAGCGATCCAATGCTCACCAACCTCCCTTTCAAGCTCCTTTCTCAGTTGGCCTGAAACTGCAAGGTCTTTATCCCACACCATTCAAAGCTCATAAGTGGGCTTTTCAAATCTTTCACTTGCCAAAGAGAAAGGAGCTAGTGGCCAATGGGACAGGACTGTCCATCCTTCCAGTCTGCAGTCTCTCTGTGTCTCTGCCTTCCTGCCTCACACACGGGGCAGGGTTAGTCTAAAAGAGTTTTAAGATGCCAGGCGGTGGTGGCACACGCCTTTAATCCCAGCACTTGGGAGGCAGAGCCAGGAGGATCTCTGTGAGCTCGAGGCCAACTTGTCTTACAGAGTGAGATCCAGGACAGGCACCAAAACTACACAGAGAAACCCTGTCTCGAAAAAAAACAAAATAAATAAAATAATAAATAAATGAAAAAAGTTTTAAGGCTCAAGATATTTTTTGAGAGACTATTTACATCCCCCAAAGCCACCACTTCCCCTCTCATTTCCCAGCTAGTTTTATATTTACACTATTTTTGTGAATACAAAAATATTCTAAAACAGAAGGTTTTGCTGGGTGCTGCCCTTCCCTCAATTTGTCTGTGTAGTGATGCTACAGGCTGTAGAGTCACACCGTAAAGAACGAGGACCAGAGAGAGAGAGTGAGGAACCTGCTTTGATTGTCTATGAGACCATGAATGAAGCTCTTGGAGGTGGGTGAGCCTCTGCTACCAAATTCACTCTTCCCCATCAATCCAACAATGGAATGAAGACTTACTAAATGCCTGATTTGACCTGTTATTTTTTCCCCCTGAGACAGGGTTTCTCTGTGTAGCCTTAGATGTCCTAGAAGAACCCAGACTTCTGACTCTGTCTCCCAAGTGCTGGGATCAAAGATGTGCTGGACGACCACCACCACCACCACCACCACCACCACC